AAAACGTATGGATATAAAGATCGTAAGTAAAAAAATATTTTACTTTTTAACAGGTGTAATCTAAACGAAAGTTGTAGTAGACTAAAATACAAATACATAGATATAAAGATCGTTAAAATCCGAGATAGTATGAACAAGTTATGACGTTCAAAACACATGACCTAAGCAACCAAATAATCGAGATTACGATGGACATAAACATCAAAAGCCTAAAACACTTCGTTAATAATTGTTCCACGTAAGATGTTGTGAGAAAAACTTAAAAAAAAAACATTCATAAGTATTGAATGAGTATAAAAACAAAAATAAATTATTTTGTAACAAAAAAAGAAATTAAGGACTAAATAAGTACAAAAATATTAAGGATTAAATGTGTACAAAATAAGAAATATATTACCTTATTAAGACATTTTTACCGGTTAACCTGAAATAACCGGTCATAAAGACTTAATGTGTACAGTTTAACAAGTTGAAGGGATAAATATAAACAAAAAATAAACTCAGTGACCAAATATGTACAAATCGAAGAATATATTACCATTTTAAATCATTATCCCTATGTAATTGTGGTTCTTTTAATTTATTTGTTGTAATTCCAAAATCAATGTACTATAAGTTTTATTTACATGAACGTTAATCTTAAATTTTTTTTTTTATATAATTTGGATGGTCCTTGAAACTTTAATTTATTAGGTGCTTCGTTGTGTTTCACTAGAACAACAAGGTAGCAGCCGTGACAGTTGACGGCAGTTGTGTCGTTCCGTCGTGGATTTATTTACTAGATTTGAGACCAGCGGCGGTCAACAATGAATCTGAAATGAAAAAAAAACCTTGATGACATGGCGGTAGGTGACGTAGAAGATAGGCTAGGAGGCGTTTGTTTTCACATGGCGTTTGGTCACTATTTTATTAAGAAAATTTGATTTGGTTTGTTTGTTAAAAGGGATAGTACAAGCTATTTTAGTTTTAAATTTAAATTGTTACAATATGCAGATTAATAATCAATTGATAATTCAGATTAATAATCCATTTAAAATTCAACATCATATGATATATCTCATTGTTTTGCAACTAATCTGTTTTTTCAGACCAACCAAACTCTATAAGCGAAATAAAGTAACTATAAAATGTTTATGAGCATTTCTATTAAAATAAGTTGACTTATGTTTGTAAAGTTGACTAGTAATTTAAATAAAATTATAATTTATATAACACCAAAACTCAAATCAAGTGATCAATAATATATTCTTTGCAAAATAAGTAATTTAACCATAATTTAATGTGTTTATTAAAAAAAATAGGGTAAATGGTACAAAAACATTCTTTTTACACAGAAATTTGATTTTGATATAGTGTTTTTTTTGTATCAATTTTGACACCGTGTTTTCTAATTTGTTACAATTCTGACCACTTGACCGGTTAACCAGGTTGCATGCTGACGTGGCATGATGACATGTCAGTTTTGATGACGTGACATGCTGACATTATATGCTGACGTGTCAAAATTGAATTTTTTTGTAACAAAAAACACTAAGTTTTCATTTTTTTTTTTTTTCGATTTTGACACTAAGTTTAATTTTTCTTTCAACTTTCACACTATGTTTTTTTTTCCAAATCGAACATTATTTTTTCCAATCTTGTTCAATGTTGACAATTTTCTATTTGAAACCATATAAATATTTTTTTAATACATTTAAATCGTATAAATATGTTTTTTTTTTTTTTCATTTAAAAACCATAGTTTGTATAAATACATTTTTTTACACTCAAATCATTCTTTTATGTATAAATATGTATTAGTTATATAAAAATTGTATTTTATATTAAATATGCAACTTTAAAATATGTTTGGAGGTTTAGAGACGTGTAGTCGATCAAAACTCGGATATCAAGTTTGCAACCCATCAAATGTTTACATCTTATTAGAAGCTTTTGGTTAGTTTGATTCTCATGAAAATAACTAATGTTTTGAATATAAGAAAAAAAACACATTGTATTTAAATAAAAATATGGTTTTTAAACGAAAAAAATATGTTTATACGGTTTAAAATGTAATAAAAAAAAATATATTTATACGGTTTCAAATGGAAAATAGAAAAAATTGAACAAAATTTGATAAATGATGGTCGATTGGAACAAAAAAAACATAGTGTCAAAATTGAAATAAAAAATTAAACTTAGTGTCAAAATCGAAAAAAAGTGAAAACTTAGTGTTTTTTGTGGAAAAAAATCAATTTTGATACGTCAGCATGTCATGTCAGCATACCACGTCATCAAAGCTGACACGTCATCATGTCACGTCAGCATGTAACCTGGTTAACCGGTCAAGTGGTCAGAATTGTAACAAATTGGAAAACACAGTGTCAAAATTAACAAAAAAAAACACGGTATCAAAATCGAATTTCTATGTAAAAAGAATGTTTTTTTGTGTTATTTACACACACAAAAAAAACTCAAAAACATTGTTTTAAATAAAAATAAGCATGTGGTCCGAAATGGACATTCTAGAACAAAAAAAAAACAAGCTTCATGTAAAAAAAAAAAAAACAATAATAAATAAAAAAATTCGGACTGACATTCTGGATTGTAAGAAAAAAACCATTTTTACATAAGTGTAACAAAAGGTTAAACAAACACTAACTCTCTCTCTCTCTCTCTCTCTCTCTCTCTATATATATATATATATATATATATATATATATATATATGATATTAATACATAAAATCAAACATTTTATTGTTTAACAAAAACACTTCAAAAGTGACATTTCTGCCATAAGTGTAGATATTTCTTTCAATAAAAAATTTGGAAAAAGTCAAAAAAATAACTCCAAAATTTGAAGAACAAAACGAAATAAAACATTTCTTTACAAAAAAGAAATGAATAAAAATTAACTCCGAAATATGAAAAATAGATTGGAATGAGACATTGTGAGAAAATAATTAATTTTTAAAAACTGGAAAAAAATGATTAATCTATTTAAAAAGTTGGGATATATACATTGATGTCCTAATATTTTCATCAATTTGACAATAAATAAAAAACAATAATAAGTATGGAACAGTTCTTTACAAAAAAAATGAATAAAAAATAACTCCGAAATATGAAAAATAGTTTGGAATGAGACATTCGTCAGAAAATAATTAATTTTTAAAAACTGGAAAAAAATATTAATCTATTTAAAAAGTTGGGGTATATACATTGATGTTCTAATATTTTCATCAATTTAACAATAAATAAAAAACAATAATAAATATGGCAAAAAAAAATCCAATAATAAATAAAAAAATTCAGACTGACATTCTGGATTGTATACAAAAATTCCAGATTTTAGAAAAAAAATTCCAAGAACAATTCCGGAATTTTAAGAAAAAAACCATTTTTACAATAAATGTAACAAAAGGTTAAACAAAAACACTAACTATATATATATATATATATATATATATATATATATATATATATATATATATATATATATATATATATATATATATTAATACATAAAATCATACATTTTATTGTTTAACAAAAACACTTCAAAAGTGACATTTTTGCCATAAGTGTAGATATTTCTTTCAATAAAAATTCTTGAAAAAGTCAAAAAATAACTCTAAAATTTGAAGAACAAAACGAAATAAAACATTTCTTTACAAAAAAAAAATTGAATAAAAAATAACTCCGAAATATGAAAAATAGTTTGGAATGAGACATTCGTGAGAAAATAATTAATTTTTAAAAACTTGAAAAAAAATTATTAATCTATTTAAAAAGTTTGGATATATACATTGATGTCCTAATATTTTCTCAATTTGACAATATAATCCTAAATTTTATTTTTTTCATAGTAAAGTCCAAACTACTGGTAATTTTTGACACATTTACTTTTTTTTCGGTAACCAATAATTAAGGCTTTACTGTAAAAAAAAAAAAAATTTAAGACTTTCTTGTCAAATCATGAATTGTGGCTTTACTGTCAAGAAAATAAAGTTTAAAACTTTCTTGGCAAATCATTGAAAATATAATGATTTTGGTGTATATATCCATTTTTTTGTTAGAAATTTAATAGTATGATAGTTTTTAAGAATAAGAAATATTGAAACTTGATATGATTAGCTAGATCTTATTGAAATCGTTAAAGTTTGCTTCTTGTTAAATAGTTTTTTCAATCTCAACAAACCGACACCTAAAAAAATAGAGTTAATCAAGAAAGAAAGGAAAACCCATAATTGTGCTGGCCTTTTATAATCCAAAAACTGCAGAAATAAGAAACCAAAAAAAACTAAACTGCCCTTCTTATCCCTTCTCCACGTTCACACCATTTTGACTAGGCGTGTGTTATTTGTGTTTATACAATTTGTCCACTATGTTTAGTTTAAGATTTAGCAATGAACAAAGAAGAAAGTTTTACAAGTTTTCTCATTCTGTCTCGCTCTGCATTTGTTTCCCCTTCCCCTGATCGTAATTGTATCAAGGTAAGATAATGATGTTAAAAAAACAGTAATTTTGCAACGAAAATTACAATTGAAAGTTCTTGTCTCTTGGGCTATGAAAATACATTAAAATCCCAATATTTTAACAATTTTACAACAAATTTTAAACTTTATTTTTTTGACAGTAAAGTCCTAATCCACGATTTGACAAGAAAGTCCATTTTTTTCTTATAGTAAAATCGTAATTATCGGCTAACCAGAAAAAAAATGGTGAACGCGTCAAAAATTGTCAGTAGTTAGAACCTTACTATAAAAAAAATAAAGTTGAAGATTTTCTTGTCAAATAAAAATATTAGGACTTTTGTGTATATATTCCTAAAAAATTCATTTATATAGGTTAAAATTAACTTTTTTTTGTGTGTGTGTTTGTTAAATATATAGCTAAATATGTTAATAACTTATGTACTTATTTCACCAAAAGTCTTAGCAACTCTCACGTAACTTCCAGGCAACTTGCCTTCTAAAGAATTAATACCCAATTCCCAATGGCTTTAAATATCAGCATCATGTCCTTGACGAGAAGCAATAGGACATTATACAATGGAAGAAGTGTCAAGGATGGCCAATCAACAAATTTTTCCATCTTCAACCTATTAGATGTCGATAAGAATGGAACTCTTGATTTTTATGAAATGATGACAGCCTTTTATATAATTATGAGCGAAAGACCGTTTTGTGATAGTTGTGAAAAGTTTATTACATCTTCGTATTTCACATGTGTCGGGTGTTTGGAAAATCAAATTGAAAGTTCGTTTGATCTTTGCCTCGATTGCTATTATATGAAGAAACTTGTTCACACCCACAACGGTTCTGATCGATTTCTAGACAATCATTCATTGCTTGCTATTACCAAGTCAATAATAAAGGAGGTATTTAATTTAAGATGTAATGGTTGTTTTTTAAATTTTGGACACAAAATATCAAGTATAATGACTAGAAACTACTTCATTGACGACTATTTGTTTGTGTCATAGGCAAATTCCTCGACAGCTATGAAAACAAATTCAGTGGTCAAGGATGCTGGTGGACGTCATTTGGACGACCCAAAAAAACTAAAACGGGTGAGTGAGTTATAATACCTTAATTCTAATAAGCATGTCTATGTTCCATATTTGTTTATTGGCATTTGGTTAGTTTATATTCCTTCTTACCTTTTAATATGGTTTATATGTTTGTTGACCTTTTAATATGGTTTATAGAAATGCTTAAATGATTAACATGAGACCGCCATTGTTGTAACTCAAGCTACAACGGTTTTCAAGCTATATTAATTGATTTGCGATATATGTTTAGTTAAATTGAGACACAGAGATCCTTTAAGATATGGGATGTAAACATATCCATTTATTTTTTAGATAAAAAAAAATTCTAAAATGAAAAGTAAATTAAAATTTCAACTTTCATTTTTAATATTATTTTCGTCAATTTTTTTATTAAAAAATAAAAATTACGCTCTTTATTATATTTTGAAAAACTTTAGATTCATTAGAATACTTTAATATTATACTATATATATTACACTATGATATTCAAATAGAGTTATTATCAAATATTCTACAAGAATTATTAACGTATTTTTATAATCTACTACAATTTTTAGAATATATTATATATTCTACACAAAAATTACACCTAAAATTCAAGAATATATAAAAAAAAAAGGGTATTTTTTTGGATAAAAAAATGAAAAAAAGATAATATTAAAATAAAATCTAAATTATCCATTTAATTTGCATTCTAGATTTATTCTTATATGTTTATTTATATTTTGATCTCTAAAATTAGTGGCTAGATTTTGGTTCCAATGTCTCGCAAAACAATCATGGTTTTAAATAAACCTTTCTTTATCTATCTATATATCTATCTATTTATCTCTCTCTCTCTCTCTCTCTCTCTCTCTATATATATATATATATATATATATATATATATATATATATATATATATTATATATATATATATATATATATATATATATATATATCAAAATCTAAACCTTTAAATTAAAAAGCTATACCTTATTAAATTGGATGTGGTGCACCAGATTACAACAAAACTTACCGTTGTCAAACCGTTGCGAGACTAACAACAAATTTAATGATATTTTTCTGGTCGTATTCACAATTTAATAAAGAAAACATTATAGCTCCTATTTTTCTGACAATACATTTTAACATATAGTTTTTCATTTTTGTGGTCAAATATACAAAATTTAATCAAAGAAATAGTATTATGTTGTGACAAACTTAATTTTTTCTCTTCTAAATTGTAGATCTCTTTAAGAATTGTATCATTTATAAAGACATATTCACAGTTCAAAATAAAATATTCACAATTTAATAAAAAATTCAATTCACTAATTCATAGTCTATTCTTTCATGCATGCATCAATTTATATTTTAACATCAAATTTATATAAAATACACAACTTAATATAGTCTATTCTCAATTTCATATATTGAGAGAAATCAAACTCAAACTTTAAAACCACCAACTACCACACACCACCACCAACCATATGTGCCACTATCATAGCCATATTGTCTTCTAAATTTTATATATATATATATATATATATATATATATTATATATATATATATATATAATCATTTATTCACAACTTAAATATTATATTCATAGTTTAATAAACTAATTAATTCACTAATTTATAGTTTAATACAAAATAATTATAAAACAAATATATTTTTACATATTTATACAACATAAAAATAAATATAATCACTGAAAAATTAATACAAACAATCATAAATATATCATTCGGATTTTAATACGAAAGTAATTAAAAATTCATAGTTTAATACAATTAATTCACAACTTATACTGTTAATTCATAATTTAATACACAAAATCTACAACCTAATATATTAAATTTACTCTTTTAATATACAAAACTATATATTCACAATCATATTATTAACATAAAACTTACATTTATACATTCAGATCTATATATTAGTTCTTTATTCAACATTTATTTACAAAAATATTCAAAGTTTAATTTTACATACTTTATTCAAAATAAAATAAAATCATGTATGTGTATAATGGTTCTTTCATCTCATATTTCAAAACAAAAAAAAAAATCATGATAAAATTCAGAACTTAATATACTAAGTATGCAGTTTAACACAATCAAGTTACAATTTAATACATAACATTCGCAGTTTAATAAAATACATTCACAGTTCGAACACAAGTTAAAACTTACATCTTGTGGTTTTTGGGAGTTATAATAGATAGTAGTTCAAACACACATCACAATTTACAGCCTAAAAAAATCCTAAATTTATAATATTTGAGAAAACATTAACATAATAACACATTCTAAATTTAATTCACAGCATAACAACTATATAACCTAAATTGTGAATAACATTTTATTCAAATATTATAACAAATAAGAAAACAAACTTAGGTTCTCAACTTAATAACAGTTAAAACTAATAATAACATGAATAAACAATAAATAAGAGATTAAAATATTAAATTCACACATTAACAAAAGAAAAAAACAATTAAAACAAAAATCAGCATACTTATACACAAATCTGATGGTGTTTCGTATCAAAGAAAAAAAATAAAAAGGAGTTGACGGTGTTTCACCGGAGTAGCAAGGCAACACTTGCGGTGGCCACTACCATTGTCGTCATCTTCCATTCTTATACCATGATTTGATCCACTAACGTCACAACTATCATTACATATTACCGTTGACACCTTGCACGACCGCCACACTTGTTTCCTCTTACCAACATTATATTCCAAAGATTAGACCGCAATAAAAGAGACCATAAGTCATAGTTTAATATATGCATGCACAAACAAATACTACATTTAATAAAATACATTTGTTGTTGAACGAAAAAAAGAGTTCACAAACTATTATTGTTTTTAGCATACAATTTGCATTCGGTTTAATCAGAAACATTTAGTGTTTTAGAAAAATAAATAAAATTAAATTATTTTAACTCAAAATTTACACATGGTAATTTAAAAAATCATAAATGAATTGTGGTGAATCGTAATCATATTTTATGTACGGTGAACACCGAAATTAAGAGGATGTTTGGCATTTCTTTTTAATCATCTTTTTGTCTTTTAACTTTTCCAAAAAGTTAAAAATTATCAAAAGTTGTTTGGCAATTTAAAAAAAATCTTTTAAAACCAACTTTTAGTAAGAAGGAAAAGTTGATTGGAAAAAAGATAGGAATTCCTATATTTTTGTGACTTTTAGCTTTTTATCACTTTAAAATCATAAAAGACAAGCCAAACACATTTTAAACACCATCTTTTACACAAAGTTCTTTTACAAAAAGTCCTTTTACAAAAAGGACTTTTATGTTCAAAAAGCCATCCCAAACACACCCTAAGCATTGAGCGATTGCATTTTTATTGTATTTAGCCGTCACCCTCTTTTAATATTTAAAATATTATTGAAATTTATTTTTAATTTAATTTAATCCTTTTAACCGGTGAAAATAGGTTTCCACGTATTTGTAATTATTTAAGACCATTTGTTATATGAGCTTTTTAATAACTTTTCCAATGTTTTTTCATTCGAGTAGTTCATGACTCTTATTCACAGTTTAGACGTTTATTCATAGGTTAAAAACTCACACTAATTTCTTGAGACATTTCATCAAAACCTTTATCTTGTTTGAATAAATTCCAACCAATGTTATTGGATTTAATGGAAATAGCTTCTTAGAGTATAGAAGTATCATTTGATTCTAAATTTCGAAACATGAAATCAGTGCATATTTATATTGAAATCATAGAACAGTATGTTCTAACTGATTCTTATTTTTTTTTGGATCTGTCTGCTTTCATTTTTCTCTTGAAAGTCCATTTATAGCCTAGTGGCTTACATACTTTAGGTATATCCACCAGCTCTCATGTGTGATTTGGCGAGATAAAATCAATTTCACATTTAATTGCCTCTTTTTATTGAGATCTTTCAAAGGAAGTGAATTCCTTTTTGAAAGTTTGAGGCTCCCTTTTAACCATAGACATGCATAAATCATCTCCAAATAATTTCTCACCCCCTTTCATTCCATCATGATCTATTTATTCCTCCATTTTCTTCTTCATGAGAGGATTCTTTGTGCCTAATTATTTTGGAGCACTTGTCTTTTATTTATTAAGACATGGAAATACATTTTAAAAGTATCATGCATTTGTTGATTCCATTAATGTAATAAACACTATTGTTTTATGCATAACCAGTACAGATGCAACCAACAATATAGTGTACAATCCTTACAACCATTGGGTTATGTATAACACCCTTTGCAAGACACCCCTACATTTGAATGTATTTGTAAGATGATTTTATACACGACCATAACTTAGATGGTATTTTTTTTTCTCGTTTTATTTTTGGGTACCTAATTTAAAAGGTAGTTAGCTTACAAGGTAGCTACCCCCACATTCACCGGGGAAAACATAACTTATCAACATGACATATCTTTTAAGATACGATTTTTCCTTATTGTGACACCATTTTTATTGTGGTGAATAAGAGGTAATAATCTCATGCCTTATACCAAAGTTTGAAAAAAAAAATTCTTCAAATAATGATATATTCACATCCATAAGCACTTCTTAGTACTTTAATCTTTTCTTTGAATTGATTTTTAAGTTCCCTTTTATACAATTTAAACTTGTTTATCGTTTCATGTTTATTGTTAAGTAAATTAACGCAACAAAGCATAATGAAATCATCAATATAAGTGATAAAGTAATTATTTCCACATTTACATGAATTTGACTTCATATCGCACACATTTGTGTGAATCAATCCAAAGGGTTTAGTTGTCTTTTCAATCGACTTGAACGCTTGGTGTATTAAATTTGATTCAACACATGTGTTGCATCAATATTTAGACTTATATGAAAGTGAGGTATATGTTCAAGTTTGATTAACCGTCTTAATATGTCAAAATTAACATGTCCAAGTCTAGCATGTCACACATTAGAGGATTTAAGCAAGTAAGCGGAAGAGTTATCCAATTCACTAGAATTAGGCTCATTAGCCA